CTGATTTCCCATATGGCAGCAAGGTTCAAGTTTGTGTGCAGGCTTTTCTGAGGATATATGAGTTCAGGAGTGCTAATAGGAAGAAGTCCTTTCTTCTTAGCAAGCAGATGGTTGGAATTTGTTTTTAGATGCATTTTAGGCACAATCTGCAAAGGGAAATTTTGGTGGCCCAGAGTAATATCTTTCTCCTAGGGCTCTCCAGTGACAAGGGTATTCTTGCTCTAGTACGGCTTTTTTGTGTAATTTAATTCTAGTGTAGAAACGCCTGCATTTGAGGAAATGAGTGTGATGAGTTCTGAGTTTTGGTGACCAAATCACAGAATAAGTATTTGGAGAGCACAGAATCATGTGAACACCATCATGTTAAGAATATTTATATTTTAGTTTTCAGCGTACACAACATCTTTGTTTTGTATGTGGTGTTGAGGATCAAACCCGGGCCGCACGCATGCCAGGTGAGAGCGCTACCGCTTGAGCCACATCCTCAGCCCCCAAGTATAGATTCTTAGTAGCTGCCAACCTCACAGCCCTCAACTACACATTTGTGGCATATATTTAACTCAGTTGCCTTTGGGAATGTGGCTATGAACTTCACCCAGGAGAAGTGGGTTTTGCTGGATCCGTTGAACAAGAATCTCCACAGAAATGTGATGTAAGAAGTCTCCATGATATTTCTTTACTCAGTCCAATAGAGAACATGTGGGCCTTTGCTTTTAATTATTTTGATGTCTTCAATTTGAAATATGTAAAGGTAATAGTATAGTAAACAAAGGAGTCATGATTCTGTGGGAGACCACTCAGAAAACACACAAAGTCTGAATTTGAAGCTAATTAAAGAATTATTATTTTACCTATCTGATCCTGGCCAGGCACACTTTTTAAAAATATTTTTATTTGTAGGTGGACACCATACCTTTATTATAGTTTATTTATGTGGTGCTGAGAATCAAACCCAGGGTCTCACCTGTGCTAGGAAAGTGCTCTACCTCTGAGCCACAACCCCAGCTCCCTAGGCACACTTCTGACAGAGCCCTAGTAGCTCTCTCTCTGAAAGAAGTATTCCAGGCTCTCTGTGGTTGCAATGTTTGAGAAAGAAAATCACATCCTATGGAATTTTGCAAATTGCAAGCAAGTAGAGTAGAGGGGCTGAAAATGCAGTTAGCAGAGCAAGTCTAGACAACCACATCCCGGGGACTTTACAGTTGCAGGCACAAAAAGTGCAGGGGGGTGCACAAAGTGCAGAAATATACATTTTTATCATCTTAAAAATATCTCATATAATAGTTTCACACAGGAACCATAAAGTTGGAGTACTTCTTCTATCTTACTATTACTTCTTCTCTCTTATAACTAGGGCAAACCAAGGTAACTTAACATCCCTAATTTTATAACATTTTTTGTATAATCCTATTATCCATGCTATTTCATTAATCTATATTTCATTATCTATAATCTATAACTTATTACTTGTATTGATTTAACTCAGAGCATAACACAATACAGCAGAAGTACACTAAAATTTTTGTAGCTCATTGCAATTCAAATGATTTTACTGGATCTGCCTTTTAGGCTGCAAATACAAATATCAGAACATTGATGAGGAGAACTAAAATTCTGGGAGAAATCAAAGGTAATTTGTAGTCATTCAGCATGGAGTGACCCTTCAGAGAATCATAGCATGATATGGAATTTTGGGGGAGTGTGAGCCATTTCAATTGAACCGTGGTGGACCTCGAGCACAGTAGTCAAGCATTCTATCATTAACCTACATACCCTTTTCATGTAAATTATAAGAAACATAGAACAAATAATCAGAACTTTAAATATATTTATTCTTTTTATTTTTTCACTATTGTTATATACATCAATACAACACAGATGTTCCAGAGTTTACATTATAATTGAATTGCAAACATTGCTATGTAACTACATTCACAAATATCACTGTTTTTAAAATATATTTTTATTTGTAGGTAGACACAATATATTTATTCATTTATATTTTTAATATTTTGTTTATATGCTGGTGGACCTTTATTTTTAAAAATATTTATTTTTAGCTATTGGTGGGCACAATATTTTATTTTTACATGATGCTGAGGATCAAACCCATTGCTTCACACATGGTAGGGAGCATTCTACCTCTGAGCCACAGCCTCAGCCTGGAGGACCTTTATTTTATTCGTTTATTTATATGCATTGCTGAGAATTAAACCCAGTACCTCACACTTGCTAGGCCTGTGTTCTACAACTGAGACACAACCCCAGCCTGCTTATTCATTTATTTTTATGTAGTGCTCAGTATTGAATCTAATGTCTCACATGTGAGGCAAGTGCTCTACCACAGAGCTACAGCCCCAGCCCAAATATCATTGTTTTGATAATAGCTATTGGGAAGCCATGTTACAAAATAATAAATTCATTCACTTTTTATTAATGTATACATGATACAAAACCTAGGCTGACCAGCCTGGCACATGTCTATAATCCCAGTGGCTCAGGGGCCTGAGGCAGGAGGATCTTAACCTCAGCAAAAGTGAGGTGCTAAGCAATCCAGTGAAATTCTGTCTCTAAATAGCATATAAAATAGGGCTGGGGATATGGCTCAGTGGTCCAGTGCCCCTGAATTTAATACCTGGTACCCCCTCCCCCCAAAAAGTGTGTCTGAGTTTGCTATTTGTATTTCACATTTAACTGTTTGGATATTGAAAAACAAAGAGAAACTAATGAGAAGCTACATTGGAAGCATATATGAAAATTTCTAAGGCATTCACGTAAACTTGAGCACCACACAACACAAACTCAATTAGCTCAGCAATGTTGCAGATGACAAGAGGAATACACACAGAAACAGAAGATTTTTACACTGGAAATGAACAATCTCAAAACAGGAAGCAGTTCTATTCAAAATTGTATGAAACAAAAAATACTTGGAAATTAAATCTTACAACAGAAGAAGGTTAAGACCCATTGACCAGAAAGATAAGACAGAAAGTTGAAAGTAATCAAGAAAGAGCTAAATAAATGGGAAGTAGCTAATATTCAAGCACAACAAAACTCAACAGTGTTAAGATCATGTTATTCCTTATTTACTGCATCCAACAGAATAAAACAAATATGACAGTATATCATTGAGCATTTTGGATCCAAAGGTCTTGAGTGCTTCTTGTCTTCCTAGTAGAACCCTCTTTCTCCATGAGCGCAAAAACTGTGTTGCTGATGGAGGAGGAGATACAATGGGAAGGAGAACCAAGGTGCCCCAACCAACAGCCAGTTCTCCCCAGAAGCAGAGCTTCCTGGTCAACACGTAGAACACAGGCCGGGTGGGCCCCACTGTGCCCAGATTGCTGACCAGTCACCCTTGAGCTGGTACCTTATGGAGTGATTTGTTCTGCAGTCAGAGCCACCTGACACATAGACTCAGTGCAGATGGGAGGCCAGGGTTCAACAACACATTCACTGAGAGTTACTGGCCAACAACAGGAAGCCAACAGGAACTGAGTTATCTTCCCCTTGTTTAAGGTTGGGTTTCCTATTAGATGGTGTTGAGTTACACAGGTATGCATATGAACATCTGTACATGTGATTGGTAGTCACAGGGCACTCCTTCTGTGAAGAGGAAACACACAACCACTGCCTGTAGATTAGAGCCAAGCTACTGGCAGGGAAGGGATGTTCCCTCATTATCGCATAAAAGTAGGTAGATATTATAGGTCCTTTTCTGCTGACAGATATCGGGGTCACAAACCTCACAGATGCACCTATGTGGCAGCCACAAAGATTAGGTTGGACTCCTGAGCACATGGAATGTGGCTGGTTTGCATTGAGCTACTGAGAGAATACAGTATATTTTAAAGAAATAGTACCATAAAGACAAGTAGTTAGTTAATAGTAATTGAAGGGTTATGGAAATTAACATTCCTATGAGAGCTCACCAAGAAAAATGAAAAGAGTGTGGCTTGGGAGGAGGGAGAGGAAATTAGTAAACATTTACAATGGACACTGAGGGAAAAAAAACAAAAATTCATCCCTTTTTGGGTTCTTCCCCAGCATTTCCACCAAAAGCAGACATTACCCCTGCTCAACCATAATTGGCCCTGAAGGAAGGAGGCAAATACTAAAATACTGGGGTCTGGACTTTTTATCCTTTCCCATTGCAGATGAGTCCTGGAAGGAGAAAAGCAAATAGTCATGCTCTAGTAACAATGGTCCCAGAGATAAGCAGGGAACACCTAGTTGTGAGCTTTTCCCAATGACAATAAGTTTTAAACTTTTTACAACTGCATTCTTGAGTTAAAATTTTAGCTTGCACTACTAGGTCCCTGAGCAGCCAAACTGCATGTCTACAATCTCCAATGATTAATTCATCCTCATTGTAAACTATGAAACCCAAATTCCTGTAACCCTGGGGAGGCATTTCCATACCCAGAAAATGAGCCCTCCTATGCCTGATGGATTGACTTCCCTGCAGAATAAAGGAAAGCTGCTGACATTAAAGAGTTGCTGTCTCCTGCCTCAGTCATTTGTGGGCCATGCATTTACAGTAATACCTCATTGCATCGGTTGCACAGAAAAATAATTATATTTTACATATATTGCATTAAAGAAATCGACCATTTCACCTGTGACTCTCGCGTTTTTTTTTTTTTTTTTTTGCTGGGGATGGAACACAGGGCTTTGTCTTTGCTACAAAAACACTCTACCACTGAGTTATGCCTGAGCTACTTTACATGTTTTTTTTTTTTAATGTGGCTTTCAGAAAGTTTAAAAATAAATAACACATTTCATTTCAATTAAACAGGGCCTTCCTTTCCATAGCTGGGGCTGAGCCATTTAAAAGAACACAGGTGAGGAAGGTCATGCAATTTTAAATCGTAATAAAATTCTCAAGTTACTCCCAATCGAGAACAGCACAGTTATTTGTACATATCGCTGACATTCGTTAGTCTTCTTCCCCTGTTGCCTTCTACACCAGGATGAATATAAACGTTTCCCGCCAGGCTCAGGTCACAGCTCGCCAAGGAAGCCCTGCCTGAAAAGGGCTGGGCCAAGAGGCTGTCTTCTGGACTGTATCAGCCAACGATTGGGTTAGAATAGCTGTCACTCAAGGCTGCTACAGTACCTGGAGGCGGAGCAGGAGAGGAACTGTCCAATCAGGTGCGCAGAGAAAGGTGAAGGGCGGGGTCTCGCAATCTCGCGGCTTTTCCTCTCCCTTGCTGAGCTCCTTCCTCCTTTGCTCCTTTGTCCTCTTCTCCGGATCCCCGGGGACTCTGCTTAACCTGGGGCCCCGAGGAGTTCGGAAACCAGACGTCCCTAGAAAGGACGGCGGGTCACCCTGGAGCCCCCAAACGGTGAGTGTGGCCAGGACTGGCGGGATCCGGTGAGCACTTGCTTTGGCGACCAGAGTGCCTCTGGTGGATGACCCTGGGCCCTATCCCTAGTCCCGCGGGGTGGGAAGTGCTTGGTGGCAGGTCCCCGAGGTCACCCTGCTGGCGGGTGGCACTGGACTTTGTCCCCGTGGTCCCGCGGAGTGGGATGGGTGGCAGGTCCCCGAGTTCAGCTGCAGAGGGTGACCCAGTCCTCTCTGGCTAATCGTCCTGGGTCGGTCGGTCTCAGGGCTGGTCCCTGCCCTCTTCCGTTCCCTGTTGGTGACCTCCCTGGGTCATATCTAGGCAGCACGCAGCCTGACGCTCCCATAGTGTGAGGTGAGCAGGGGAGGGTAACAGGGAATCTGGACAGAGGTGTGTTCTGTCAGTGAGAAGTTGGCCTTTGGGGGTCCTGGTCTGACCGTGTATTCTCCACAGAATTAACCTGTGCACCCTTCAACACGTACTCCTAAAAGTGCAAGAAGCTGGGTATGAAATCCATTTTCCATTGGGACCTTTGCTCCTACTAGAGTTGGCAGCATACCCCTACAATTCCAGTTCCCTGCCCGCATTCCCAGATGGCAGCTGCACTCTCCAGGACGCACTTTATCATCGATTTGCTCCACAGCCTACTGTTCAAGTAGACAGTGCTATCTTTTTCCTTTTCTTTTTTCTTTTGGTTCCCAGGATTGAACTCTTGGGCATTTGGCCACTGAGCCCCATCCCCAGCTCTATTTTGTATTTTATTTAGATACAGGATCGCATTGAGTTGCTTAGTGTCTTGTGGTTGCTGAGGCTGGCTTTGAATTCGGCATCCTCCTGCCTCCATCTTCCCAGGCACTGGGATTGCAGGCATGTGCCACTAAACCTGACCAGATAGTGTTTTAATTGTGGTAGTTTCACCTTTTAACGAATAGCACTTTTAAAGATTTTCTTTTTTTTTTTTTTAATGTGGGCCAAGATTTCCCACGAGTGGAAAGCAAAGAGGAATTACCTGGAACTTGAGTTTTTGTGTTTATAAAGCACTTATGCATCTCTTCATCTTACCCAGGTACAAACACCTGTGCAGAGTCTTTGAGCAGAGGTGTCCTTTGGATACCACACAGGGTCCTGTGTCTTCAGTCATTGTTCTGTCTTTTCCTGGGGCTGCTGCAATCCTATGTTTCAGTGTGCCTGCAGCGCACAGGTGTCCTGTGATCTGAAAGGTGCAGGCAATTTTAAGCTCTGCATCAGCTCCTCCTAGAGGACAGCCTGAGATGTGGAGTACAGCCTCTCAGGGGAGCAGCTAGAGACACCCAGGTCAGACAGTGAGATGCTGGTGTTGAGGGAACATGACATATATGGTTCCTACCCTTTGGATGGGCTCAGAGCGGTGAAGGAAGAACAGTTATCCTAAAGAGCAGGGAAAACTGACCCCAGCAAGGTGGAGCAAAGCCCTACAAAGCTTTTCAGCAGCAGGAGGGAGGTGGAAGGATGTACCTGGTGACAGAAGCCTGACCTGAAGCTGGTCAGTGTCCAGTGGTGCTGCAGCTCCCCGGGTTTTTGCCTTGGAAAGACTGGCTAAGGTATTTTAGTGTCAGTTTTTCTATTAATTGTAAAATGTAAGTTATTAGTAGGGTTGATTAGGAAATATTCCTAAAGGGTAAGAGAGAGATATAATTCAAGGGGAAGAAAGAAGGCTAGAAACAGAAAATAAGCAAACACTTGGTCCTATATTATTTTAGTTAAAAATTCTTAGGACTGTTTCTCTTCACCAGAGTGAATTTACTGAGTTTCTCAGATGCCTTCTTTTATTTATTTATTTATGTGGGGGGCGTGTTCTACCAATTTAAAATAGAATTCCAGGGCTTTGCTTTTGGAATGTTATGTGGGAATAGAAAAAAGGGAAATCCTATGTTGCAGTGTGCTTGCAGTAGATATGAATGCATTCCCAGATGAAAGTGTGGTAGAGAACTTGTTTTCTTTCTTTCTTTTTTTTTTTTTTTTTTTTTTTTTTTTTGTGGTGCTGGGGATTGAACCCATGTCTTTGTGCATTTGAGGCAGGCACTCTACCAAATGAGTTATATCCCTAGCCCAGAAGTTGGTTTCTTTTTTACAAAATTCAACCTCACAAGGGCTTTGCTAACTTGCTGAGGTTGGATTTTAACTGGTGTTCCTTCTCTGTCATCCTCCAGAGTCACTGGGATTACAGGCCTGCACCACTGCAACTCTCTAGTTAAAATTTCTTATATATCTTTTTCTCTTTTCAGATGTGGTTTTTACTGGGGTTTTGGGGGTGGAAGAGTGGTTTAAAATAGAATTCCAGGACTTGGCTTTGGAAATGCTACCTGGAAAAGAAATAGGAAAGATCTTGTTTCAGTATGGTTGCAGAAAGTGAATACATTGTCCCAGTACCTATGGTAGAAAAGTTGATTCATTCATTACAAAGATTCACCAAAACATCCGCTCTTGTATTTTGGAGGGGAGGGCAGCAAGGACAGGGCAGGATCAGATCCTAGGGCAGAGAATGTTTCACCACAAGTCAGCCTGATCTCAGGAGGGGTCAGGAAGAAGTGTATATACTGGCTCTAACTACTAGTGGGTCAGAGTTTAGGGTCCTGGATTAAGGAGAGAAACTTGAGTCAGTTTTGCTTAAAAAGTATTTTTCTGATCCCTGAAAACGAAATCCCTAATTGCTTATGAGAAAAAAGAAGAGAGGAGGGATTTTCAGGATCGGTGTGTTTCTGCCATGGGCTAAAAAGGAGCATCATTTGAGTCACAATGGGAAGAGGGTGTCTGTGTAGGAACTGCTCTAGCAGAATGCAGAGGAGGGGGATTTATTCAATCATAGATTTTTTTCACAGGAGTACCTTTGGCACTCTTTTTCTTACATATCTTTTCCATTTTGGCCAATCCTAAGTTGAGTCTTTTAAATTGAACATAAATGATGTGCTTTGTTAAAATCAAATCATTGAAGTTGAATAGGGGATGATAGGAGTCTCCAGTTTGTAGTTCTTTGCTCTCAGCAGGACTGGCCCTCCTGCCCTGCAGCTGGCATCTACAATGGGGCAGTGTTGTGGAGCTGACCCTGAGCTAGGGTTTGTGCTGACTGGTGGTGTCAGAATTGAACTTTTGAGTGACCAGTAGTTTTGGAGAATGGATTGGTGTTCATCAAACTCACGTTGTAGGTGTCAGAAGTGGTTTCTTGGAAAAGGTCTCACAAGCCAGAACCTCCATGTACCTGCTGGTGGGTGCTTGGGTATCAGTGAGAACTGAGGTCCTACAGGAGGGAACATTCCACTCTAGGGAAAAGAGAACACAGTGACCTTCCAGAACCAAATGTCCCAGCTGCTCATGTTTTCCTCATTTCCTAGGAAAATCCACCTGAGCTGCATCTACTGTGAGAGTGGTCCCCAAGCTTGGGGAAGAGTTAGTCACAAAGTAGAGATTCCTGGTGTACTGTCGGTGAGAGGGTGCTTCCCTGAGCTGGTTCCTGTTGTTTTCTTTATCAAATCTTGGTGCCATAAAATTCCACTTTATTCCAAAAATGTAGGAAGTTCTTTTTTTTTTTTTTCCCCCCCCTCTTAGGTACTGGGGATTGAACTCAGGGACACTCAACCACTGAGATAACCCTGGCCCTTTTTTTTTGTATTATTGTTGTTGTTATTATTTAAATGTATAGACAGGGTCTCTGAGTTGCTTATGCCTCCCTGTTGCTGAGCCTGGCTTTGAACTCATGGTCCTTCAGTCTCAGTATCCTAAGCCAGTGGGATAAAAGTCATAGCCATGTCACCTGGTCAAGAATTTTATTCCTTCACTGAATGGAAGATTTTTATATTATGGATTAATATTTATTTGGGTGCAGAAATTTGATGTTGAAATATTACTTTAATGCTCAGTTTAGTAAGAATCTATACACCCATATATTCCTGTCCATATAGGGATGCGTTGGTCCTGGGCAGGCTGCCCTCTCTCCCTGCTCTCTCCACCCTCTGCCTGGAGGTGAGTGCAGTGCCAGTTCTGTCATTCCTTTCAGTTTAACCAGCTGTGAGGAAGCAGAATTTTTCTTAGTTCTGTGTTATTGAGTTTTCAGTACCTTAATGTTACCATTAGTGCTCTATCACTGGATTTCTATAATGTGCAATGTGTGGTTTCTCTGCCTCAGTTGGTTAGACTCCTGTGCTGTCTGAGTCTTTGGGTCTCCCAGTTTCCTTCCCTGTTCCTGCTTCAGGAACTTCACTTGTTTCCAGTTTCATTTTTACATTTTTGACAATTTCATTCTATTTTTAAATTTGGTCCCCAAGTGTGTACCCTTTATAATTTTGTACACATAGGGAAGTTCTCAGGTTATTGATTATGGGTAAACTGCTGCAGTGTGAGGAGCAGCTTTCTCACTATTCATCCATTTACCCTCCTACCTGTCTATCCTTTTTTACTTCCATGTGGCTTTTCACTGAATACCATTAGTATGAGCATTTTTCTGTGTATTTCCATGTTCTTTGAAATGGTTTTCAGTCATTTTCTCATGGAATTTATTTTTAGGTTATATTTTTATCTGTTAATTTTCCCTTCAAATGAATTCATTTCTCTTTGTAAAGACTGCAGACATCTGCCCTGAGGTAGGGTTGCCTTCTTGCCCCCTATTGCAGTTTGTTGGGAGAGCCCCCTTTTTATAGATGTATCATTCTTTTTTTCCTTTGAATTTATCTTATTAAGTATATCTGTAGAACAGGAAGCATGGTGGATTTTGAGAGATAAATTCTTAGGTGTCCCCTCCTGGACACAGGGAATGAGCCTTTCTGGGGCCACATTTCAGCAGTCAGAGTCTGGCTCCCAATATGGGAATGTGATTACCCCTTTGCAAGTGGGTATTTATTCTGAACTGTGAGTGAGGCAGGCTCTAACCTGAGCTGGTTCAAATGTTTGCTTGTTCTTTCACTGAGTTTTTTTGTAATTGTCATGTAATTCGTTTTTTATGCACTTAATACTTGTACTTCCTGATTTTC